TTTTTGAAAAATACAGAAATAGCGCCGAGAGCAGAATTTCTCAACAGAAAGTAGAGTAGTTGTTGTCAGTGCAGTAGGCCCTTCAGATTCCGCCGGTAAGACAGTCGATTTTAGTACAATTCATGCATCCATTTCATTGATAAGCCGATTGTAGCATCTAGGTTGATCCTGGAAGCCGAAATGTCGAAAGAACGATTGAATATAGAGAGCAAGAACAGTATGAAAAAAGAGGGCAAGAATGAGATAAGACGTTTCGGTCCAGTAAGTCATATACGTCTTAACACTGCGAGAGGACCTTGTCAGTATGACGATCGCAGTATTTAATGGAAAAGAAAGAGAAAAGAGAAAGGCACAAGATGCAAGGAAAGGAAGGGGACAGCTATGATTTTGGGATTAGCGGAAGTGAGAATGGAATGAACAAGGAATGAATAAAAGAGAAAACACGATTTAAAAAAGAAAGTTTTAATATAGAAGGATTTAAGAAAAAAGTTTCAATATAGTGAGATTTAAAAAAATGGTGCCAGCATTTTACCGGGGAATCAAACCTGCCATCAGCTTTCTTGTAGGTGATTCTTTTAGGACAGCCCTCCCAGTGGGTGATTGCTGTTGGCATCTGCTACCACACGGACTACCCATGTCTTTGGTTTTTCTCACAGACAGCGAATACTGATGAGGTTCTTACTCTTGTCTAGGAGACATAAGCCAATAAGTTAAACATGTTTTGTACGCTAGAAACAGCTGGTGGACCAGTAAGCGGTATTTATATTCTTTGAAGAGTGGGCGGATTGTCTAGTGCAAACTGAGGGAATCTAGTCAAGGAGGGAGAGATTTGACCTAACTGCCCGCCGATAAGGAGATGTATTTTAGCTGAAGTTTTACACCGATTGCCCGGGTAGTCCAGATGAGTAGCCTGAAGAAATTTCGACTTTTTTTTAAAGAAATGGGTTTTTTTTCTTGGTATGCTTATGAGTTTTCTTCTTTCGTTGACGTTTACAAGAAGCCCAGGAACTCTTTGCTCTTGGCTTTTTTTTGGCGTCGACTTTGTGCTAATTCTACAAATCCAGTCCAGTCGATGAAATGTGATTGGCGAATGAAAAAAGTGTTTTAACGTATCTGAGAGAAAACGAATGATTTCGGTAGTAATCTGAAAAAATCTCTTTTCTAGGTCCCTGAAGATCCGTGCACAAGTGTGTTGATTACGGAAGAAAAATTAGAAGATGCGCCAGCAGTACCACTACCATCAGCACTAATTATGGACGAACAGAGTATCGATTCGGGCATAAGCGAAAAGAAGGAGGGTAACGAGCGAAGCGGGGATTTTGCAGAAAGGAAAGATCAAAGATTTATAGGGCCGGAACGTAATTACTTCTCCCTGGGTCACTGTCGGCCGAGAAACCAGCATGTTCGTCATTTTTTCTCTCGACAATTTGTCAACAGATCCAGGCCACAATATCAGCTTCCACCAGATACTGCTCAAGGTTTGCTTTTTTTTCGGATAAAAATTATTGAGTCTGATAATTTAGGGGGTTTCTCTTGACTGCTGTCTGTTAGTGATCGTAGCTTAGGACTTAGCGCATCAAAATTATCTCCGTTCTCTCTAAAAAAAGAAAGCGTAACATCGAAAATAAATGATAGCAAGCACGCCGTCGGGGGAATATCCATTTACTACTTCACCGTACGTTAAAATTTAAGCATTTCGGCCGTTCCATATTTTTCACAGTTTAGACTGGCCGTTACTTCAGAAATTATGGTTCGGCCTACCAGCAGCCCCAAAAAATTCTTCAGTTTAACCCACATCGGCCGCCCCATTTGGATCGTCCACTTCTAAATTTGCCTTCGAATGGCCGTTACTTATCATTCTAATAGCAGTCACTCATTGGGAAGGCTTCCTATGGTCCCAGTTTTCCAGGATCACTCAAGAAATGAAGTTACTGTCTGAATATTTGAAAAGACTGTTAGTTCACCATTGATGGTACGGCCAAAGTAAAACCATCGATTTTATTCTTAAACACGCCATACATTCAAACAACCCCACGCATCGGTGCCCTTCCAACTGTTTTTTTGAAAAGTAAGCTCATGTTCAATGAATTAAGATGCATATAAGCGTATATGACTTAATGGACCGAAACGTCTTAACTCGCTCTTGCCTTCTCTCCTATACTACTCTTTCTGAATTCCATCACACCTTTACCTTCTGCCCTTCCATGGTCAACCTGGATGCTGCAGTATGCTTAAGGACACGAGTGAGAATTTGTTTTGGGCTAGATCGGTGAAGAACACCGTTATAAGCTTGGCTACTGCTTTTAGTATTTTGAAATTATCAAAGACGAAAAAATTTCAGGTAGAGAGTACCAAAGCTGTGAACATCAGGCTTTTGAACGACGACGGGAAGAGCAGCGTAACAGAGACTGGAGTTTTGCCACGATGCAGAACCATCTGGATGAGTTAGTCTTT